ATGGGCCAAAGAGGAAATCTCAAGAGAAGGGGAAAATATTTTGAACTGAATTAAAATTAAAATATATCAAATTTTGTGGGATGTAGAAAAAGCATCACATAGAGGTAAATTTATAGCATTAAATATCTGTATTAGAAAAAAAGAAAGATCTCTAAACTGTAATCTAAGCTTCCACCATAAGAAACTAGAGGAACAAGATAAAACCCAAAGAAAGTAGAGGGAAAGAAATTATAGATAAGAGCAGAAATCAATGAAATTGAAAACACAAAAATAGAGAAAATCAATAAAACCAAAGTTGGTTCTTTGAAAACATCAATAAAATTGATAAACTTCTAGCCAAACTAATTAAGAAAAAAAGAGAGAAGTCACAAATTACCAATAGCAGGAATGAAAAAGGAGACATTCCTACTGATCCTATGTAATAAAATGGTAATAGATACATACTATTAACAACTCTATATCCATAAATTCAACAACTTAGATAAAAGGGAATTACTCCTTGAAAGATACAAAGTACAAAAACTTACTCAAATAGAAATAGAACACCTGAATAGTCCTATATCTATTAATGAAATTCATTCTGTAAGTTAAAACCTTCCAAAAGAGAAAATGACAGGCCCAAATGGTTTCCCTGGCAAATTTTATCAAACATCTAAGGAAAAGGTAATAAGAACTGTACACAGTATCTTCTAGAAAACTAGAAGAGGAAATAATCCCAATTCATTTTACGAGCCAACATGACTCTAGTTTTTTCTTTCAGTACTTTAAAGATGTCACAACACTGTCTTTGATTTGCATGATTTCTGACAAAAAGTCTGCTATAATTCCTATTTTTGTTTCTCTGTATGTAATTTCCTTCAAGAAAAGGCTGCCTTCAAGATTTTCTCTTTGGCTTATTTTCAGTAGTTTAAACATAATATGGAGGGGTATATACTTTTTGATATTTACCCCATTTAGTGTTCTGTGACCTTCCTGGATCTGTGGTTTGGCATCTGTCATCAATTTGAGAAAATTCTCAACCATTATTTGTTTTCATTTTTTAGGCATTATTTCTTTACATATTCCTTCTGCTCCACCTTTCTCTCTTCTTTTAGGGATTCCAATTATCTCTATGCTATGGCATTTGATATCATGCCATGACTTTTGAGTACTGTTTGTTTTGTATGTGTTTCTTCTTTCTTCTTTTGTGTTTCAGTTGGGGTAAATTCTACCGATCTAACTTCAAGTTCACTGATTCTTTCCCTGGCTGCCTCAAGTCTACTGAGGTGCCTGTCAAAGGTATTTCTCAACTCCATTACTGTTTTTTTTTATTTCTAACATTTCCATTGGGTTTTTTCTCATAGTTTCCATCTCTCTACTAAAACAGTTACCCAAAGTTACCCATAAGATCTTGCATGTTGTTTATACTTTCTATTAGGACCTTTAACATATTAATCTTAGTTATTTAAAATTCCCTGTCAAATATTCTAACACCTTTGTCAGATCTGATTATCATGATTGCTTCATTTCTAAGGAATGTGGTTTTTCTTGTCTTTTTGTATGTCTTGTAAATTTTGCTAAAAATTGTACATATTATAGACTGAGATTTCTAAGCATAAATGGATATATCTTTCCTCCTACTAAGACTTTAATGCCCCTTCTAGCTGATTATGTGCCTGAGTGGAAAAAGAAGACCTTCCCTGAGATTTTGAAAGACTTTACCAAAAAGCTGGCTATACCACTAATATATTCTTCTCTCTTTTCTCTGCTCTTTCCATGAAGACAGACAATCCCAAATAGAATTTCTGATTAAGCAGGAGATAATTAATATATCCCGGCCGGGCGCGGTGGCTCAAGCCTGTAATCCCAGCACTTTGGGAGGCCGAGACGGGCGGATCACGAGGTCAGGAGATCGAGACCATCCTGGCTAACCCGGTGAAACCCCGTCTCTACTAAAAAATACAAAAAACTAGCCGGGCGAGGTGGCGGGCGCCTGTAGTCCCAGCTACTCGGGAGGCTGAGGCAGGAGAATGGCGTGAACCCAGGAGGCGGAGCTTGCAGTGAGCTGAGATCCGGCCACTGCACTCCAGCCTGGGCAACAGAGTGAGACTCCGTCTCAAAAAAAAAAAAAAAAAAAAAAAATATATCCCCACAGATCTATCCCAGCCAAAAGTGAGTAACATGATACTCTGGACCATATGGGCAACATACTGGGGAAGAGGTGGGGAAATATAAGATTATTTGGGATTCTGTTAAATATTTGAATTGTTCTCAATATCCCTTGAGTGGTAGGTTGATTCTGTTAAGGACATCATCTCTACCCTTCCCTCTGCACATAGTTCTGTATGCTGTCCTGCTGTAGGCATACTAACTTGCTTAAACAATCCGATTGGTTTTCAACCCATGCCTTTAGCCACTGCCATGAGAACATGTCCAGGCTTGCTGTAGACACGTGTGGCTCAGTTGTCCTGGCCACGTTGGCCACCATCCAGGTGAGTGATCCCTGCAGACCAGAGAACTGCCCACATAAGTCCAGATTAAACTGCTGACCCACAAACATACAAGCAGCTAAGTAATGTTTTTGTCTGAAATGACTGAGTTTTAGGGTAGGAACAGAAAGCTGATATATCTAGCAGGCCTTCTGGCCTCCAGAGATCTGGGAAGTATTGGTGCACACTCTAACGACATCTATGCCGTGTCTCCTGGAGCTCATATCACACTGATTCATGGCCCTGCTAGATGCCATGCCCTGTGGATATTCCACCATTATAGCGAGTTATTTTAAGCAAAGTACAAAAACCAGATTCAGGAGGCTCATATTTTGAATACTAATTTCTAATTTTTACTAAGGTAATCTTTGAAAAAGCACTTCATCTCTCTATTTTGCTGCTGGGATAGAAAACCCACTTCTGTGTCCTTTGATTTAAGGCTGTGGTTTCTATGAGCCCTGGACTGGGCTGGCTGCAACAGACGCTCTGGCAGGAAAAACATTCCCCAGACTCTCTCCTGAGAGTCTCATTCAGGTATGCTGGGGTGGAGCCCAGAAATCTGAATTTTTAGACAGCTCCCCAAGATCATAACATACTATTAACATTATGTTACAAATGTCAGGTGATCGTTGAAATGGATGGTTTCCCCAGTTTACTGCTTCCTGAATGCATCTTTTGATACAATCTCCTGTCATCAGAATATACTTATATATAATGTATGATCAATACATCAAAATAATAGTTAATACTTAATATAATAAATAATAGTTAATGTAATTTATAACTTGGAAATGTCTGCTTATTTCCAACAAAAATTAAAGGAAGCTAATATATAACACATCCAATAAGACCATCAGAAAATAAACAAAATTTTAAACAAAGAAACACTGTATTAAAGCCTCAAAACAGTACACTTCATGAGTAGCTGAGTTTCCTAGTAGCAAAGGTAAAGAAAGAAATACAATAATTATAAAAATTCTTACTATCTGATAAAATATATCGAAGTATCAGTAGAGACTTTTTTCCCCACAGCCAAATTATAAAAGGAACTTAATCGTATAGGACTTTTACACAAATTATTTTGAAGATAAAAAAATGGAAAATAAGTGAATGTATACGGAGAAAGAATCTTTTTGGAGCTACACTGTAAAAGGAATCTAATTATATAGGTCCTATTGCATAAGGGATCTTGAATAACAAAAAGAGTTGTGTAACCAACAGTAGCTGGGCAGAAAATGACTATTTCTCACACAGTACATGTACATCCTGGGAGCATAAGTCTCTGGAGGTGATTCTTTGGTGGGCAAAGGTCCATGGATGAGGGAGGCTTCCTGTGTTCAGACTTTTCACACAGAAGGAAGCTTATGACATCTAAGAACTATGAAGAGTAGGGTTATGCCTGGACATAGAGTCCCCTCAGAGGAGGAAAGGGCTATGCTGCACTAGTAGGGAGCCAGTTGGTGGAGGAGCCAGTTCACATTCACGACTAGGAACCCGCACTCTGGGCTCACACCAGAAATCAACCAAGGCGAAGAGGTTCAGGAGGCAGAGGCAGAGTCTGAAGGCACTAAAAAACCTCTCGTTCCAGGAAGGCATCTAAGTTTTCTTGTCTACTGCATAATCTGTAGACGCTAACAATGTGGTGACTGTTCTCTGGCTGCATTAATGGAAGCACAATGCCCAGAAGCAGGGAGACAAGGTCCCGGCTCTGTCCTGCTCACGTCCTTCCTTCAGCTCCTCCCTGTAGCCTCTGGAGTGCTACACAAGTTGTTCCCTCACCCCAGAACAGTCGCACCAATACCCCTGGCCCACCCATACCCCTTTCACCTGGCTCCAGCCTCATCCTTCAGATCCCCATCCAGATGGCCCTGATGCCATCAAACCTGGGTAGGGCTCCCCACCTGTGCCCCTACAGCATCCTTGCTGCTCCACAACAACCCGTCACACTGAGCTGTGACTGCCTGTGTCCTTAGAGTGGTCGCCAAATTTCCCAGTTCACAGTTGGGTCCTCACTGTTAGCTGTGCCAGGCACAGAGCAGATGCTCCCAGGATGTACACAATGGATGAATAAGGTTGAAGGACAACAAAGACCACTGAGAACACTGTCAATAGGAACAGCCAACACGGACCTGGGCTTACCCTGTGCCAGGCCCTGTTCTAAATGCTGAGGTGTGGGGCTGAGAGCTGAACCCAGGCAGGTTGCTCCTCAACTCATGCTCTAAAACCATTCATCCTCAACAAGGAACAAAAGTGTGCCATGTGCTGGGTGACCTGTGGGGCTGCAGGAAGTGGGTGTGTACCCTGCCACTGTGCAGCAGCCCAGTGCCCCTCAAACCTGGAGATGTGAGGGGAGGTAAATGCCTGGTGCGGGGGACCGATTCAGCCCTTCTCATGAAGCCCAGGAGTGGCTGGCTGGAAGGGACCTGTCTTTAGTCCTGTCCCACGACTAAGGCACTGCCCATGCTCCCCGGCAAGTGGGCCACGTTAGGACAGAATCTGAGTGTAACAGGAGGAGACACACAGAACAAGCACCTTGCCAACGGGAACGCTGCCACCTGCAGGGGAGGCTGGAAGCTCAGATGGGCTGGACCCCGGTGCTGGCCCCACAGGGCTTGACCGATGGCTGGGTTTCTGCTCCGATAATCCAGCTGCTTTTTTCCTCTGGGCAGCGATTTGGGACAAGACATTGTCTATGCTGCCACCTGAGGAAACACAAAAGGAGTGAACACCGTGGGCACAGAGGGCTTACTCCAACACAAGGGTGGTGGACTGTCGTGTGATGACTGGGTTGGAGTCAGTCTTCCAGACTCCCTTCCCCATGTGGCTCCAGGACAGGGCTGACAACAGGAGAACTCTGCAGGAGAACCGTGAGGTGGAAGTTTAGGCAGCAGGCTCTGTGCTGCAAAGGCGTGATGGTAAGAGGTGGCAAGCAGCGGCACAGGCAAAACCCAGTTCATCCTCGCTTTTCCCCTGCCATGGCCAGCTCGTGCCAGCCCCTACCAGGCACAGATGCAACACCCTGCACCCGATACCCATAGCAGTCCCTCTGCAGTGCCCACCAGAAGCTGCACAAACCATCTTGTCCGGCTGCACCAGGGTTTCAGAAGGGCTAGTGAGTGAGTGGTCCCTCACCCTTTCACTCTCCCTTTATGTGGCCACCCCCAAGACTGGGTCAATACATTCCCAATTCCATAATGCTCAGAGTGGTCTGCTTCCTGACTGAACCCTGACTGCCATCTCCCTCACTCTGCTTCCCCAAATCTACAGGCAATCTCGAACTATTATAAAAGAAATGTGCCGGGTGTGGTGGCTCACGCCTGTAATCCCAGCACTTTGGGAGGCTGAGGTGGGCGGATCACAAGGTCAAGAGATCGAGACCAGCCTGACCAACATGGTGAAACCCCGTCTCTACTAAAAATACAAAAAATTAGCTGGGTGTGGTGGCGGGCGCCTGTAGTCCCAGCTACTCGGGAGGCTGAGGGAGGAGAATCGCTTGAACCCAGGAGGTGGAGGCTGCAGTGAGCAAAGATTGTATCACTGCACTCCAGCCTGGCAACAGAGTAAGACTCTATCTCAAACAAAACAAAAAACAAACAAACAAACAAAGGAAGAAAGTGATAATACTCAGGGCTGGGAGGTACTCAAGGGGGGACACTAATGACTAACATTTATAGAGGATTTACTATGTGCCAAGCCCTGCTGTAAATATTTCACATGTTTAAAGAGAGCCATTCTGGAGGGCAAAACATCAAAAGCCTCAAAAATAGGCATACTCACAAACTCAGTCACCCTGATTCCAGCAAATCTAAGTAACAGAAATCACTGAACATATAGGTGAATATGGAAGCATGAAGGTATTACGAAGGGAGGTATTACCTACAAAAAGCAAAAATCTAGGAACAGTCTCAGTGTTCAACACAGGGAATTGGTTAAATGAACTGTGATGCCTCATATAAATGGAACACTGTTTGATTATTAAACAAGGTGCTGTAGATATATATGCATCAGCGTAAAAAGGTGCTCACAATCTAGCAATGTGAGGAAAAAGAAAAAAGTAAGTTACAGAGCAGTTTATAGTTTAGAAAGGCACGTGGTTCCAAGAACAGGCTCTGAAGTCAGGCTGCCTGGGTTTGGATCCTGGCTCTGCCTACTAATAGCTATGTGACCCCGGACGAGTTATCTAACTGTCCTTAGCCCCAATCCCCCATCTGTAAAACAGAGGTGGTAACTTCATTGGCTGCTGGGGCACTGAAGGAGATTATTCATTCAAAGGGCTTGGCATGCAACTTGACAAATATTAAGTGCTCCATAAATTATTGTGTCTTTTAATAAATATTCATAATCTAGACAAAAACACTTTCCAGATATATATACATATATATATGAAAATGATAATGATGATCTGTAGCGGGTGAGATTATACTTTGTTTCAGTCTCTTGGCTCATCTGGTCTTAAAGCTTTTTCCACTAGAAGCAGGGTGGCTGCTATGGTTTGGCTGTGTCCCCACCCAAATCTCATCTTGAATTGCATTTTCCCACAGTTCCCACATGTAACGGGAGGGACCTGATCGAGGTAATTGAATCATGGGGGCGGGTCTCTCCTGTGCTGTTCCCATGGTAGTGAATAAGTGTCATGAGATCTGATGGTTTTATAACAAGGAGTTTCCCTGCACAAGCTCTCTCTTGCCCTGCCGCCATGTAAGTTGTGCCTTTCAGCTTCTGCCATGATTGTGAGGCCTCCTCAGCCATGTGGAATTGTGACTCCATTAATCCTTTTTCTTTATAAATTACCCAGTCTTGAGTATGTCTTTAATAGCAGCGCAAGAACAGACTAATACAGTGGCCTTCCTGCAAAGCTGGTTTGGTTAATCCTGGATGACCTTAGGGAGGACTAGAAAGTACGCTGCAAGCCCACCATAACTTTGGGGCACTCTGCTTTGAGACCTAATTGCCACCAACTTGCTGTGTGACCCTAAGCAAATCTCTTGCCCATTGTGAGCTTCATTTTCCTCATCTGTTCAATGAAGGGGCAGAATGAGAAGGTCCAAGCTCTAACTTTCAGGGATTTTAAACACTGTGAAAACACCACGCATTTCTTTTAATCCAAGAAAAAAAAAAAAGAGCATTCTGGACTTTATTTTCCTCCATCTCCATCCACCCGCATCCCCAAGAAACTGTGTAAAATGTGAATTGTGAATTCACTGAAAAATCTCTTAGCCACATCAAGGAGAAAGTCCCTCTTGTGCGGTCATTTCTGCCACTGTCTGCAGCCTGAATATCCGGGCAGCGCACACCCTCAGTCCCAAGGGATTATCCCACCTCCCTGAGTGGCCCTGCCCAGCTACTCACCTGAGCGGTTAAGCAGCTCCCCACCATGCCGGTTCACACCTCCTACCCCACTGGAGCCGCCCGATGAATGAGGCGAGTGGTTGAAGTTTCCAGAATTGGCAGGAGAGGCTGGGCTTCTGGAGAGGCTTGGAAATTTAACAGGCCTGACGGGTGTCTGCAAGAATAAGGCACGTACAGCACTTAGGGAGGCTGCTCCTCCCTCCAGCCGTGCAGATCAGTGTGAGGGTTCCTGCGCTCAGGTGGTGCACACCCCACCAGAGCTCGCTGTGCCCAGCACAGCCCTGCCAGGGCCCAGCAGGGGAGTCCCTGAGGGATAGAGCTTGCTTCTATGTGCTGACAACTCACCCATCAGCTCAGTGAACCCATGTGACGTCATTTCCCATGAGCCACCTTGCTTTCAGTCTCATTCAACTCCAGGGCCTTCCAAGAAAAAACCTGACCATGTTATTCACTGACAACCCATGGAGGCCTCAGCACATCCAGGACAAAATCTAGCCCCCTCAGCACCACCTGGCACAGTAACCAGCTCCCCACCTCCAAGCCTGCTTCCGTGATGCTGTCCCTATTGGTCCCTCACCCTGGAATGGGTCTTCTCCTCCCCACATCCTTCATGGTGCCTTTCCTGGCCCCATTGTCTCTGGTGCCAGGGCTCCCGGTCACATCCTCTCCACCCTGAACTCACTCCACCCCCTGCTTCACTTGCTCTGCTCCAGGCACACCAACCTCCTTTCGGTTTCCTGCTGATCCTTTTTTTGTGCCTTGGGGCCTTTGCCCAGGCAGCCTGTTCTACATGGACCTGGCGGCTCCTCCCACAGCAGCTCCTCCCTGTCCTTGGGTCTCAGGTCTCGGAGGCCTTCACTGCCTAAGCGGTGTAATGTGGGCTCTGGTCTAAGATGGGCTCCCGTGTAGGGCTGGCTCCCCGACACATGGCTGTGCTCCCTTCCAGCACCCTCTTCGCTTACACTGTGACTCTTACCACGGCTTGTGAGTGTACGTTTACTGCGGCTGCCTGTGTGTCTGATGCCCCAGTGGACTGTCAGCTCCATGGGGACTTGGTTCTCTGCTGTATGCCTGGTACCCAGCTCTGGCCTTGGCACAAAGGCGGCACTCAGTAGATATGATTAAAGTTGGAGTGGGCTGAATCGCCGCCCCCAAAAAGATACACACTGTCCTAATTCCCAGAACCTTTGACTGTTACCTTATGAGGCACGAGACTGAGGATGAGCTTATATGTGCTTACCTAAGATGTGCTCAAGTCAAGAATTTTGAGAGGAGGAGCTTATCCTGGAATTTCCAGGTGGGCTTTAAATGCAATCACATGTATCTTCATAAGAGAAAAGGCAGAGGGAATTTTGACAAACGAGCAAGCAATGTGACCATGGAGGCTGAGACTGGAGTGACGCAGCCACAAGCCAAGTGAAGCCTAGAGTCAAGAGAAGCTGTCAGAGGAAAGAACGGATCTCCCTGGAGCCTCCGGAGGGAGCGGGGCCCTGCTGACACCTTGATTTCAGGGTTTCTGCCTCCAGGACCGTGACAGAATACATTTCTGTTGTTTTAAGCCATGCAGTTTGAGGTGACTTGTTACAGCAGCCATAGGACACCAAAACAAAGGTCCTCTTGTAGGTCCTCTACTGTGGGCACTTCTAAGGGAGAGACAGTGACAGATCACAGGGCCCTGGCCCCACACTGTGGGCACTCCTAAGGGAAGGACAGTGACAAGATCCCCAGGGCCCAGAATGAGGCCCATCTGCTGAGTAAGCAAAACAGAACACACTTACAAAGGCTATAGCTCATGTTCTCTCTCCTTCTACCTGGGATGCTGCTGCCTGCACTCCACTGGGGAGAAAACTCTTCCACAGCTTGCAAATCCCAGCTCAGCTGTTGCCTCTGCCTGGAGGCCTCCTGAGTGTCCTACCACACACAGTCACCTCTCTGGTGCTCGCACACTCCTCACACTGCTCCCTGCCTCATGTTCTGCGCCTGTGTCTTTGCCACCCAGACCACCGCCTCTTCTAGGGCAGAATGGGGCTGACTGGGCTACATGGCAGTGGGATTCAGTGAATGTTCACTGAGCAAATGAAGCAAGTCAAGTTAATGTTCTGTCCCTCTAAGGTTAAATTATCAAGGAAACACAGCCATAGAAGAGGTCTCAGGGATGGGTTCTACAACTCCCCCATGTTCCTACCTGATCGAGAATAGGGGACTAAACGCAAACCTGTCCTGCCTGTTTTGAGAGCATCTCCAGGCGCCAGGCTCTTGGTCTCCTGCTGGTGATCTGATACCACCATAGCCCTAGGAGGCAGCAGTGAGTGCTGAGGCCAGCCCCATCTTATAGAGATAGAGGCTATAAGTTTCTCCAATCACCCAGCACACGGCGACAGGGTCAGTCCTGAATCCCTTCGTCTTGCCTGTTTGCTGCATCTACCATCTAGATACAGGCTATACACAGAGATACCTTCCACATTGACAGGGCTGTCAATTTCAGAAACAGACCAACAGCCACCAAGTTAGAAACCAATACAGTCAAAAGGATAGAAGTCACATTCTTGGGCACAAGAAAACACCAGTAGCACACACAGTTGCCACTGAGTGTTTGCTCTTGATCGTGGTTTACCCGCACTTGGCTGGTGATCTTCAGCTATTACTCCCACTCCCTGGGTCCCAGTTTCCTCATCTACTAAAAGGAAGGTTGGATTAGATACATCAGGTCTTCAAACTGTGCTCCTTGGAGCTCTAGGGTTCCAGTAAGGGGACAGATGTTCCCTGCTACCTCAACATTTTAATCTATTTTCCATATTGAGTTGCTCTATAGGGCTTCATTAGACAAAAGGATATCATCCACTCAAAAGAAAAAAAAAACGTTGCAATCCTTCTGGATTTGTCGGTTTGAGGTCCCTCTGCCTGGAACACACCATGATTTCAGCGAGCAGTGAGTGATGTGTAAAAGTGTGTCAGAAGACAACTTACGGTGTCTGTGCCCCCGCCACCCACAGGGTGGCCCCTGCTGGCTCTCTGGGGCAGCACGGTCTTCATGGGGTCTACCTTCCCGTTGTGACGCGTCCGGGACCGATCAGAGCTCCACAGCTCAAAACTGGAAGGAGGTAGGAATGGGGGGATGACTGCTTTCAGCTTGTCACTCGGCAGTCTGGTGAGGGGAGCTCCATTTCGAAGCTGAAAAAGACAGGCTGAGGGTTAGACAAGACCCCAGCAGGGCTCCCAACTCTGTGGGAAAGACTCCATGTTTTTCCTGCTTCTTGGGGCATGGCGCCACCATCCGCCCCTCCACCTAAGCCAGGAGCTATGTGGCATCTGCAGCTCTCCTCCCAGTAACCGCACAACACCCATGTCTGCTCTGCGCCAATGCCAGGCTTCTGGATCTCTCCCCACAGCAGCAAGATCAGAATGGGGCAGAGGAGACAGAGCGCCACGGAGAAGCAGATGATGTTGGTGTGCTATGGGGGACGCAGGGGAACTGGGAGAACACAGAGGAAGGGCGCCACTGCTGTGCAGTGAGGGCGCCTTTGTGGGGAGTGAGTTGAGCTTGAATGACATTAAGTTTAAGCTGGGCCAGTGAGGACCAGAAGGGGCATTCCAGACCAAGTGAGGGGCCAGAATACGGAAAGGCCTGGAGCCTAGAGGAGCAGGACATGGGTGCCGTGCTGCGAAGAGACCAGCCTGAGCAGCCGTTGGGGCTGAAGGAGGAAAGGGGAGGGGATAAGGGCTAGGGCCCAGCACCAACCACTTTCTTCCCCAGTCCCCCACAAACCAGCCTGCTCCAGCCACGCCTCCTGCTGCTGACATTTAATTCTAATTTAATTTTAAATTTTGAAAATGTGATTTGGGGGTCAGTATAAAATCTACACAGTAATGACTGTTAGATCATCAAGGAAAGTGTTCACAGATCACGCTCACCTTAATTAAGAAAAAACAGTGAACTTTTTGCCAGATGGTGCTTTGCAGCAACGGGCATCCCACAGCTAAACCTGCCTCAGAAGCCGAGCAAGGCGGGCATCTCCACACCGACGGCTGCACATGCCCATCAACGGAGCAGCCAGGCCACCCCACCCATTATGGGTGGGCAGGCACACTGGCGCCCTCTACAGGGCATGAGGGGTTGGGGAAGGAGTACACCTCCTGGGTTCCCAGGCTGGCTCTGTCCTGCTTTTCTGACAGTCTGTAAACAAGTGCTGTCCCCTCTTTCCCTCTAGACCACAACAAGCTCATCTAGCAAACAGGGTTGAGTTGGACACTCAGCGACAAACCCACCACCACAAAAGGGTCTTTTCCCTCCCTGGGGTAACAGTCTAAATTGTTGCTATCATTCTGGAAGCCAATGACATTCACAACCTTTGACCCAGGAATTCCATTTCTAGGTATTCATCCTGAGCAAATATCAGGCAAGTGGGGGAAATGAAGGTATAGGGACATGCATCTGAGCTGTTAAAATAACAAAAAACTAGAAATCCCAGAGTCTGACAGTTCAGTCTTAGATAAAGAGACACGTTCCTACACTGGAATGTTCTAATGTAGCCATTAAATATGATGTGGCTACATGGTGTTTGATGACATGGAAAAGATGGTCACAAAATACAAATCACAAATAAATTGGATTCAACACAATATGGGAAAGATACTAACAGTGCCAACCTCACGAATATTAAATGAGCTAATATATGCAAAGTGCGGTGAATAGTAGCTGGTACTTAGTAAGAGCTATGGTATTTGCTATTATTACATATAATATCACATTTATTCATGCTAAAAAACTGCTTACAAAAAATACTCAAAAGACATATACCCTAAAAATGCCAACCACGGTTATAGCTGGGTGTGTGATCGGGGCGAATTTATTTTCCTTCTTTATGTTTTACTGCTTCTTCCAAAATTTCTAAAATAGCATTTCTGTCTTCACACCAAAAATAATTATTGCTATTTAATAACATGATCAAATGTAAGGCAGCACAAGCTCCCACAGTCAGTGTTAGAACCATCAATTTACACCTGTTGGGGTGGCAGGGAGCCGCGGGCAGATTGGGTCAGGACTCCTCGCTGGGCTCTGCAGTTCCTGACGCTGCTGAAGCCTTTCTGGGAGCCCCCGCTGCTCCCTTGTCCTCTGCAACACTGCCCTCTGCTGGCTAGTATTAGGGTCTTAACACTAAAGGGACTCAAGTCCAACTTTAACCATTAAGCTCTCATGTCAGAGGAAAGGAATGTGAAACTCAGAGAGGGGAGGTAACACATCCAAGTTCATACCACGGAGCTTATTCTGGGCCAGACCCTAGGCTAAGAACTTCCTGGGAGTGATCTTGTTTAAAAACCATAACCATGAGGAATCCCCAAAGTCAGAGACTACAAACTGTCCCCCAGTATCTATTTTTCACATCTTAGAAATGACACACCTGATGTTTATTTAGATGGGCACAGGACCACTTGGAACAAAGACTTCATTTCCCAGCTTCCCCGCTGTGATTTAAGCAAAGTCGTTTCCAAGAAACCTTTTTTTTTTTTTTTTAAAGACAGAATCTTGCTCTGTCACTCAGGCTGGAGTGCAATGGCACGAGCTTGGCTCGCTGCAACCTCTGCTTCCTGGGTTCAACCAATTCTCCTACCTCAGCCTCCCGAGTATCTGGTATTACAGGCGCCCGCCACCACGCCCAGCTAATTTTTGTATTTTTAGTAGAGACTAAAAATACACCATGTTGGCCAGGCTGGTCTCAAACTCCTGACCTCAGGTGATCCACCCGCCTCTGCCTCCCAAAGTGCTGGGATTACAGGCGTGAGCCACTGCTCGTGGCCCCAAGAAACTTCTTTAAAGACAGCTGGCATGTGCCCATGGCTACCTCTTTTCCTCTCCTCTCTCCTGCTGGCTGGAATGAGGCCGTGATAGCCAGAGCTCTGGCAGCCATCTTGAACTAAGAGGTGACCTTAGAAATAGAAACCACACATGGGGGACCAACAGGCAAAAAGGACTCAAGTCCCTAACTCCAAGGAGTCATATACTAGTTCTGAACTTTGTTTACTTGAATGAAGTAGGCTGCTATCTTATTTATACCACTGTTATTTGGGGACTTTTTGTTACTCACAGTTGACCCTAATCCTAATACATCTGTAATTTACAGATGAGGAAACTGAGGCCTCCCCAGCTGGAAACATACCCTCCTCTTTGACTCCTCTCTGCCCGGTTCTCCACAGCCCAAATGGTGAGTCTTCATTTCTCATGCTGCCCATCAATTCCTACCCTCAATCCCCTGCCTCCCTGAGAACGGGGCCAGGGCTGACACCCAGCGGCTGAGCACCAGCACAGCCCTCTCCAGTTTAGAGCTGGCATCTGTTCTGACTCCTCAGTGCCAAAACTAAGCCTATTGTTACACATTCTGATAACCAACTCTATCTGTGACCACCACAAAGACAGACAAATGCCCATATCCCTCCTTGTAAATCAATCAACTGATGATTGCCAGAGACCTAAAATGCTTTTAGAAAAGCCCCACGCTCACCATGGTTGTCAATAACGTGTCTTCCTTTTCTCCTCTTGTGCTCCCAGGACCTGAGAGACAAATGGAAATTTCCTGAAATGACCCTTCCATGTGTCCACAGCATGAGGATGAGTGACTGGGGCTGGCTTCATCCTGGAAAACCAACTCTCCTGGGTGCTTAAATATTTAATAATAATTGGTATTCGATATTTTAATAGAAGGCAGGCATTTAAAAGGTATATTGGAGCATGTTTTCAGCTTTTCCATAAACCATTGCCGTGCTGGGTCAGACAGTGGTGCCCCCAGCTCAATAGTCTGTCTCAGACAGTGGTGCCAGAGGAGCTAATCCAGTTATGGGGAATCTGACTGTTGGAAGGGATCTTATCCATGTTCCAGTCAGTATGGGAATCTCCTTCAGCAAAGTGACAAAGTTATCCAAGCTGTTGAATACCTCCAGTGATGGGGAGCTCACTACTCACACCCTCCCAGTAACTCATTTTATTTCAAGATGCTTTCAGTGTGATAGACCAATCACATTTCATAGTGGGGAAAACCACCTACCAAAGGCAAGAGAGAGGATGATTCCCTGTCGTCCTTCAGCAGGGAGTGTGGGACAGGAACCTGGGCCTCTTGCCACTGGGCAGCACCTTCTCATTCTATCACACTCCTGGTGGTTGTGTCCCTGCCTAAGTCTCTTTTCTACCAGACCAGCCTCTGTGCTCCAGTGTCACATTCCAACATCACCTCACCCCTGACAGCAGCCCAGGAGGTAGGATGAAGGGCAGAGGGTGCAGGCTCAGACCATTCCAAAAATTCTACTGCATGGGCAGGCTTTTCTCACCATTGTCTTTGGTCACAGGGGCTGCATCAGGCAGTGCAGAGCGGCTTGTCCTGTCCTGGGGGGCAGCCCTCATTGTGGAATCCAGAGCTGGCTCAGGCTCGTCAGAGAAAGGCAAAGGCTGGTTGCTGGACAGCCCGCGGGGCAACGTCTGCATCAGTTTGAGCTTTCGGAACCGATTGGACATTCGGTTCCACCAGGACTGCCAAAGGAACGCAGGGCAGAAGTCATGCTCCAGGAAGGACAAGGAGAGCAGGCCCAGGACCCACCCAGCCCAGAGACAGTGACTACATTCACAGGTGCCTGCCCTCCCCTCTCCTGGGGCCTGGACAGACATTACTGATCAACAATAGCACCCATTCCCAATAAGCCATGGTTACTCACTAAATCTTTCCTGATCCATACCTTAGGCAGTCATTTCCAATAGCCTGGAGATGGCAGTGAACCCTATTTGCCATCCCTCATCTAATCAATCTCCTCATTGCACATGAGAAATGGAGACCCAGACAGGACTGCTGACTTACTTGAGGTCTTACAGTGAAACAGGGACAGATGGACACAGAGGCAGCCCCAGATTCCTAAGCGTCTATCATTGCATAATCTCCCTCCTCCTGCTCTGGTGATAACATGAGAGGCATCAGGATCTCTATATCAGGGCCTGGGCCAGTCGCTCCTACAGCTGATCCTCACCTATAGAGGACAGGCACTACCTCCCGGGAACACTTGTAACCCATGACCACTCAGAGGTTAATGAACAGCCACGAACGGCGTCTGTGAGGGCCTAGCCTATGGAAATGGCAGTAAAAGCAGGAATGAATGGAGCTATGAGAACACCAGTCAGGAAGGATGCAGAGCTTGAGCAAGCGCCGAGTCTGCAGCCCTCAGGAGGTGCTGCCACTCCATGCAGAGTGGGGAGGTGGGCAGACAAAACCAGTGTGTTGTTTTCTTTTCTCAGGCATAAAGTAAGTTTGCCTTCAAACAAGTAGAGCAGGACGTGGAAGATGAGAAATCCAAAGAGGAAGTCTCAGCTTGCAGTTACAAGCAGCCACTAAAGCTTGTTTCTGGTGTTTCCAGGAAGCTGGCAGGGCCTGTGGACTGCAGGGAGACCCCAGAGTGGCACGATCAGCAAATATCCTGCACAGTAAAGCAGAGGCTGCAAATGCATTCCTTGGGAAGAGAAGTGTTTGCTTTGGCCAGCTCAGTACTAAATCATGCAGAATTTTCTAAAATTCCCTATACTTATAAATTAAGATTCCATATCAAAATCTGGATTTCTATTTTTTCCTTAAAAAAAAAAAAAAGAGATCTAGTAATATGGACCCACAGTCCTTTCTGAGACAAGCTCTTGCTCTGTCGCACAGGCTGGAGTGCAGTGACGTGATCTCGGCTCACTGCAACCACTGCCTCCCAGGCTCAAGCATTTCTCCTGTCTGAGCCTCTGGAGTAGCTGAGATTACAGGCGTGGACCCACATTCTTACAAAGCAGCCACTGTTGCCACAACATGGTCACAGTCACCCCAGTTTTTCCTGGTCCCCCTTGTTTCCTATTGCTCAATGCCAGCTCACCTGCCACCCCTGCTGGGCCTCCCCAGCAAAAACCAGCCTGGGTGCATAGGAGGCAGCAGGCTCCCCGCCAGCCCCCATCTCCCTGGCCCCCTAAGCCCCTTTAAGACAGGAAAAGACAAACCTTCAGTCCACCCTTGTCATCAGGCAGCACTGGGATGCTCCAGGGCTGTCGGACCTTCGAGTGGGGCAGGGGCAGCTGGTGGCTCGGACGGCCTTTGTCTTTATTCACCTGCATGCACACAGATGCCAGCAGTCGAACAAGTTCCGTGTCTATGGACACAAAAGGCAGCATTTTACCTGCAAATATGTCTGTTGGGCCATGAGGAGAAGACTCAAGATGACCCCTATCAGACTTAGAACTCAGCCCTGCAGCTCCAGGGCCTGTGTAATTCCAGAATCAAGGCACCTGCCTCTCCATCTGATCTTCAAAAGGTGGCAAACAAAGCCAGCAGGGCTTAACCTACTTAACCAGAAAGAAAAACCGGAAGTCCTCTCTCATGAGGATCGCAGGGCGGACAGTGTGTTTAAAAGCGCAGGCTTCACAGCCAGGCTGCAGAGGTTCAGATTCTGCCTCTGTCCCTCCCTGGCTATGTAACTGCAAGTAAATTACAAAGCCTCTCTGTGCCTCTGTACAAGTCAGCGACATTAATACCCACCACACAAAGGTATCTTGACGATTCATGGGAATTCCTTTAGAGCAATAAAAGTGCCTTAAAAATATTAAGTATTATGAAGTCATTATGAACCCAACTCAGTTATATAAAAAAAGCACTGCAAAAAAGATTGAGAAGAAACTACTCCAAACTATTAACAATGCTTTTTCTTGATGACTATTTCTTTTTTTTTTTTTTTTTTTGAGACAAGAGTCTTGCTCTGTCACCCAGGCTGGAGTGCAGTGGCACATTCTTGGCTCACTGCAACCTCCACCTCCTAGGTTCAAGCGATTCTTTGCCTCAGCCTCCCATGTAGCTGGGGCTACAGGGCCCGCCACCATGCCTGGCTACTTTTTGTACTTTTAGTAGAGATGGGGTTTCGCCATGTTGGCCAGGCTGGTCTCGAACTCCTGGCCTCAAGTGATCCACCCAACTCAGCCTCCCAAAGTGCTGGGATTATGGGCGTGAGCCATCCACGCAGGGCTATTTCTTTTTTCTCTCCAAGTACTCAATAATAGGCATGAGTTTTTTCAAAAGTTTTGTGTAAACACCTTATTAAAAAACCCACTAGGAAAAATATTCCTAGGAACAGGCTATTTTATTTGGGAAAGGGAATAAATGGCAGTGGAGGCTAGGGAGAAGAGGAACACTGAAAAGATAAGTTTGTCAGAAAAAGTGTGTATGAGATCCAGCGAGAGTGGCTGGGGACTGATTCCAAACAAACAAGTCTTGGCACATGAAGAAGGTCTCCAATTAGGTGGAGTAGGATCACTAGACTTGGGGCACAGGACTCCAACTCTCTGGCTGGGACAGATCACTTCCCGAGTCTTGGCGACCTCATCTCTTCAAGAGGATGTGAACCTCTGCTTCCCCTCTCAGACCTCTTCGAGGGTCAAACAGAATCAAGTGTGCATCTGTGAAGTGCAGGGGCCTGCAGCAGGGAAGGGGTGGCAAGGGTGGTGGTGCTGTGATGAGGAAGGGCACACCTGCTGGCTTCCTCTCTAGTTAAGAGGGCCAGCAGGTGACTTGTGACTACAGACGTCAAAGTCTTCTCTCCCCACAGCCAACAGCTAGAATCCCAGCACAGGGTTCAAGCCTAGTGGGTCAGAAGGGCCTCGGAGCTTCTCTCTCTCTGGGTTCAAACTCCAGGGTAATAAGATGACAGATCAGAGACCTTTCCCCTTGAGCTGGCTAACTGGAAGCCCAGGTCCCAAAAGAGGGCCTGTCACAGCAGGGGAGGGTCAAAGAGTAGCAGCAGGTACCAGCTGAGGACCAAGAGGGGTGGAACTAATGGCAACATTCCCAGCGCAGTACCCTTGACCCTGCAGCCTCTATCTACACAATTAAGCTGAGGGGACCATCGCTCTATCTCCCATTCTGCTTATCAAAGGGGCCTTTATGTTTCCACCTGAGTGACTCAGGATTTCTGGCTGTGAAGCACAAATGCCACTCTAGAGTGTGTGTGGACTGCGAAGTCAGACACGTCTTATTTTCCTTCCCTCTCTGGAGACTCCTAGGAGGTTGGTGCTGGAAGAAGCCCCCAGGGCCACCTGGTCCAAGTCCAGTGCTCCACTGGGGAGGGAAGGGACTTGCCTAAGGATCATGTGGTAAGCTCCTGACGCTTGAGAATGACTTTCCCCCACGAATAAGCAAGTGCATAAAATACAAGTCACAGAGGAGGTGGTTGTCTTGACTCCCAGCCAGAGAAACGCTGGGTAGATTTACAACCCTTTTCTTGAAATTACCCACCGGGATCATTCAGCAGCATCACCAGGTCAAAGGCTGTGTATCCATTTTTTGCACGAAGAGTGACATCAGCCCCTTGGTTTAGCAGATATTTGACAATTTCCTTATTCCTGGGAAGAAAATGCTAGAGTTACATTCACTGAAAGCAAAAGTATGGCTTTGCTCCTGGGCAACAAAACCAACAACATTAACTACAAGGCTCAGTCTCTGAGCATTTAAGAAGGGCATGGAAGGGCAAACAGTCTCATTCTCTCATTCCCTAGCACGTGGGCAGGTCAAGCGGGAACATGATTTAAATCAAAGTCTAAGTGTTCCTTCCAGGAACAAAATGAAAACCGAGGCTAGATGTGGCGGCTCACACTTGTAATGCCACCACTTTGGGAAGCAAAGGCGGGAGGATGGCTTGAGCCCAGGGGTTTGAGACCAGCCTGGGCAACATGGGGGGCCTTGTCTCTACCAAAAATTTTGTTTAAAAATCAGCTGGGTGTGGTGGTGCAAGCTTGTAGTCCCAGCTACTTGAGAGACTGAGGCGGGAGGACTGCTTGAGTCTGGGAGGTCAAGGCTGTAGTGAGTCATGATCACGCTACTGCACTCCGGCCTGGCAACAAAGTGAGATACTGTCAGAAAGAGAAGGGAAGGGGAAGGGGAAGGGAAAGGGGAAGGGGAAGGGAAAGGGGAAGGGGAAGGGAAAGGGGAAGGGGAAGGGAAAGGGGAAGGGGAAGGGAAAGGGGAAGGGAAAGGGGAAGGGGAAGGGGACCAAACCAAGGGCTCTGCCCAAAAATCACTGACCCCATGGGAGACCCCACTTCTTCCACCCTAAACCAGGACATCTCCATTGGGTAAGTCTCCTACAGACCAAGGTGTCTGAAATAAAATTTCACCTTGGAATTCAATGCTCATCAAAGAAGAAAACAAACTGCTTTCAGATGACACAGGAAAGTGATCTGATCACCTAAAAGAGGGTAAGGAAAGAACCTCTAATTGGGAATCAGATAACTTAGCAGCTACAAGATGCCCACCCCAAAGAGGAGGCCTCCAGGAGGATGACAGCCCACCCTGCTGGGATGATCACATAAGAAGGGGTTCATAAGCACCCTGTAAACACTGAAGCTTATTCAAAAGGAGAGAGGTAGGACACATCTCACCATCAATCATCACAAGACGACAATGGTATGAATCACCAATGTTTACTTCATACAGGGGCTACTTAAGGAGGTCACTATATCTCAGTGTGAAAACTCCAATGAACCAGTCATTGTGTTCAACTGAAACCAACCTAGAGAACCTTATCTCTCTGCATAAAATGCTTCTGCTGCATGGTTTTTCAGGGCCACTGGTGAAATTCTGTGATGGGAGAACAGGAAATCTGGACACAGAAGGGTGGAAATAAAATGAACCTGTGCCGCTTTCATTTTTTTCTTTTTTTTTTTTTTTTTTTGCATGCCTCAATGTCGTCACAGTCCTGGGGTTTGTATGCAGCATCTCAGGACCAGAAGAGCCCACTGGAAACCCCCATCTCAGGCCAGAACATATGTCTGGCCTTGTTGCTGAGGGCGTGGAGCTGGCACTGACCCATGGTAGGTCGCCTGCATGAGGGCTGTCCAGCCATGCACGCTGTCCTGCTTGTCAACATCCGCGTGCCTCTCCACCAGTAGCTGCACCAGAGCCAGCTGCCCCGTAACAGCTGCTAGCATCAGGGGCGTCGCCCCGTCCCCATTGACCAAGTTCACGTGGCTAGGGTCTTCATCGGCAATCTCTTTGACCAGCTGGAAGTTTCCTGCAAACACAAGCAAGAGTCTGGGTGATCTGTGGGCCTGGGACCATAGGCTGATTTATCCTGTGGTTCACGTAACAAACACTTGCTGGCCCTGCCTCTGCAGTGGGCTGCTGGGCACCATAGGGGATACTAAGAGGGGGTCAGAGATAGCGCTGACTCTCAAATGCCTCAGTCTAGGCGGGACAGAGATAAGCACACGAATGGGTAGAAGTGTTACTAAAAGACAGAAGTATTGTTAGTGTCTTCAGAGAACAGATGAAGGACACAGAAGAAGGCAGAAGGAGAATTCAGGTCTTGCTGTGGGGTGAGGATCGGGAAAGGCTTCCTGGAGGAAGGGTCTATATCAAGAGAGAAAATTTTAGGCTAAATGTCTCTTTGTCACAAAGAGACTGGAATGGGTATGCAGAGAGGCATTTCAGAGGCAGGAAGAGCTGGGGCATATAGCTAGCCAGTGTTTGGCTGGAGTGGGGCTGGAGGCCCTCTGGAGTCTATGTGTAGAGCTCCATAATAAATACTGGCCTCCAGGACCTGAACTTCCAAACACCAAACACCAAAATGCCTGTTTCTTTCTCAAATACCCTGGGTGGCCCTGCAAAGGACTACAAATATTAGGTTGGGAGAATGTAGTTCTGTATTCTTAAATATCCAAAAAGATCTTCTAAAGCGCTTACCCATTTTCAATGCATGGAAAATATCAGGTCGCCTTTTCTCTTCATCTGGGTAAACAAAGATTTTAAAAGTTAACCACGGAAAGGTTTAATATAACAGAAAAGTCACAAGGGTGTAACAACACAGCCTGGCTTTAAAAAGCATCTAATTCTCAAAAGCAATCTAATTGGAGACCTACGTAATGGACAAATCCAGCAGCCCTTCTGGAAGGTTTATTACCAAAGAACATCTGAAAACACTTCAGAGACAGATCTTGCCAACAAAACACAAAAGAGCAGCAGATCACGGCCCTGATCTCATGCAAATAAAGCAATCATTTTTAGGCAAAACAAATGTTGGCATATCCTTTCCTAGATATACTGAAAAGTCTTGGGGTCTTGGAAAATCTTGGATTCCTATGGACATTGTTTAAAAAAATTTTTTTTCTTCTAAAAACTAAACATACAATCATAATTCCAAATCAGCTGCTGACATACCGAGCAGCTGAGCTCTACGGAAGTTCACAGACACAGCCAACAGAAGAGCCAATGCTCATGTTTTCTTTCCCTCCCATGTAAGAAGCAATCAGAACACGCTCCCTGCCCCAAACCTGCAGACACAGCTGCCCAAAGGCCACTGCCCAACTGGGCATCTTCATGCTGTACCCCGAAGCCCAGCTGCTAGGTTGGGGCCAGACCCCATGCCTACCTGCACAGCTGAGCCTTGCTGCAGCTGCCAGATGCTAGCCCCTCTCTCACATGCTCATCCCACACCTTCCTCCAAGCCTGGGCCAGCAGGTACCCTGCTCCTGTCAGAGCAGGCATCCTCATGGCCAGTCTGCTTGCTAGGGGGCTGAAGGCAGGCCTTCTGCAGTCTTTAACTGATCCCACGGGACGGAGCAGCTGCCAGAGGGAACTTGTGAATCTGGGCTGACTCTGGTCCAGATAAGCCCTCTTGAGCAGCTGGGAGGAAGCTGCAGCCCGGGGCAAGGAGCACTGAGTGTGGAGTCAGTGCATAAGAATTTCAGTGCGCATTTTTAGAGTAAGCTGCCTCTTCATCACAAATGTGGGGATAACATCCCTTTCATCTGGCTGTTGCAGGGATCAAATGATAATGTTAAAGCCCCATTCAAAGAACAATTATTTCTTTACTAGCAACCAGCAAGGTAGACTCCAGAATTCTTTTTATGAGATGGAGTCTCACTCTGTTGCCCAGGCTGGAGTGCAGTGGTGTGATCTTGGCTCACTGCAACCTCTGCCTCCTGGGTTCAAGTGATTCTTGTGCCTCAGCCTCCCGAGTAGCTGGGATTACAGGCACATGCCACCACACCTGGCTAATGTTTGTAAGAGACAGTGTTTCGCCATGTTGGCCAGGCTGGTCTTTAACTCCTGACCTTGAGTGATCTGCCCGCCTTGGCCTCCCAAACTGTTGGGATTGCAGGCGTGAGCCACCGCTCCAGGCCAGAACCCCAGAATTCCATTTTTTTTTTTTTTTTTTGAGACAGAGTCTTGCCCTGTCTCCCAGGTTAGAGGGCAGTGGCGAGATCTCGGCTCACTGCAATCTCCACCTCCCGGGTTCAAGCGATTCTCCTGCCTCAGCTTCCAGAGTAGCTGGGATTACAGGCACCTGCCACCACACCTGGCTAATTTTTGCATTTTTAGTAGAGACGGGGTTTCACCATCTAGGGCAGGTTGGTCTCGAACTCCTGACCTCATGATCTACCCATCTCCGCCTCCCAAAGTGCTGGGATTACAGGCGTGAGCCACCACACCTGGCCAGAATCCCAGAATTCTTCATGAGAAGTACAGACACTGCCACAGGACACAGTACATCAATTTTGCCTGTGAAATACTATCAAGAAACAATTTTGCACCTGACTTTTAAAAAATATGTCATGTTCCTCCAAGTATTCACGAACCATCTTTGCTGTGGCGGGGGGGGGGGGTCTTCTCATGCCAAAACCTTTTCACAGAAGAGTGTCACCTGGTCTTAGTGTTTGCTGCTAAGCAACCATCTGACACAAGTTAATCACTGACAGCGGAGCCTGGCCCCAGGAGACAGGTGCAGTTGTGTCCTGACACCCAGTGACTCTGGGCACGTCTCCTCCTCACTTGGGGCCTCAGTTTTTTCAACTATATCCAAGCAGTCCCAGGGACCCTGTCCCATCCCAAGGAAAAGAAATCTGCTCCAACCTCCACACCACAACCTCAATGTGCAGTCAGGGGCGTCACAATGACAGCTACCGCATCAAAGGTACCCTGTCCTGCTGCTAATGAAAGGCAGAGACCAGGGGACCTCCAAGGCCTTGGTGGGGGCTGGATTTCCAGGCATGGCACAGTAAGAGCTGGGGCTCCTATTATTTATTTCATAATCTGTCATTATCAATAGCACAGCCTGCACCCTACCTGGGGCTCTTCCCAGGGATCCCCCTTGGCCAACACACTCCCTCAGGTCCTGCATGTCTGCTGCAGTCCCACCTTCTCAAGGTTGCCCAACCACTCCATTTGACACAGCAGCCTGCATTGTCCCAGCTCTGCCACACTCAACCTCTTTACATTGCCCTCTTTTTTTTTTTATTTTAACCTCATGGCACTTACCACCTACCTTACTATATATTTAATATGCATATTTCCTATTGACTGCCTATCTCCCCTTATCGAGGCTAAGGTCCTCAAGGGCAGAGATTTGGATCTCATTTGTTAACCGATGTATCCAAAGTGCCTAGAAAGGTGTCTGATACATAGCAGGCCTCAGTACATATTTGTGAAGTATCAGAATGAATGTATGATCAATCAAAACATAAGAGTTTCCATTTATTGGATGTTGTGTATGTGCCAGGGCACTGCGATAAAAATTTTACAGGCATGATCTTACTATTCCTCACAAAAATCTCCCAAGAAAAGTGTCTTTATTGTGACTATTTTATGAAAAAAGACACTGAAGTCCTGTAGGGCTAATTAACATCACCAAGACCACCCAGGTACAGAGTGGGAGAACTGAGCCTCAGGCTGGGTCTGCTTGATGGGAACATGACCCGATCTTGCTGGAAGACCCGAGGTTCGCTCCCGTCAAATACGCCGACAACACTGTGGAGTAACGCCAGTTCTCATGTGCTCCCTCTGGGCCAGGGAGGATCTCACGTGACCCCCACAGCAGTCCTGAGGCGGGTGTCACTCCTACCACCCATTTGTGGAGAAGGAAATGGGAGCTTGGTGAACTCAGGCAACCAGTTCAAGGTCCCTTGGCCAGCAGGGGCATAGCCGGGGTCGAACCAAGTAGACAGTGACCTTGGCCACATCCACCAATGTGTCTCAGCCTCTGCGTCTTGGTGAAACGAGGGCATCACCATCCCATGATGCCAGGACAATCCCTAAAGTGAGGCCTGTCAGAAGCTAAGCCTGAGGGCACTCCATGAAGATTCAAGATGCAGAGGCTGAGGAAACCTGGGAAGGAAAACACACACACAGCAGAAGAGGCACAGCTCGGCACGCACGGGCAGGTGCAAGTTCTGGAGTGTCCACTTCTGAGCCTGAGTTCCCTCCCCTGCAAAATGGGGGAACACCCTCCTCAGAGGGTCCCTGCGAGGGCGAGGGGAGATTCAGCATGGCAGGTGTGCTGGGCACAACAGGGCCTGGGAAAGGCAGATCCTTTCCCCATCCCCACCACAAACAACCCAACAACCCAAACCTTTAAAGGAGAGCAATGGCCTGTGTCAAAAACAAAAACAAAACAAAACCCTGTCCTAGGAGACTGGGGCCCTAAGTTCTAATTGCAAGCCTTTATGAGTCCCTAACACTCTACTGTGCTGAGTATCTCACACACCAGAGGATAACCTGCCTTCTGCTCACCACCACCCCGTAGTAGTTGTCATTGTGTCCGTTTCACACATGCGGCAAAGGCTCAGAAGAGTCACGTGTTAAACCAGCTTCTAGAGCCCATGCAGAAGGTGCAGGTGGGAGAATCACTTCTAGGTGCTCTTCCCACGGAATCCTCACCTCCTGAGTGCCACTCACTCAGTTTCCAAAGGGCGTGTGACCTTTGACCAGCTTTCTTCCCTCTCTGGGCCTCAGTTTCCCACCTGGACAAAGTAAGAGTTCTCTTGGCTTCAGATAGGCCTTCCTAAACTTCACTTCTTTTTCCTTCTCATTTGATCGTCCTCTTCATTTTTGCCACCTCTCTGTCATTACAGGCTTTTAAAACATGTTTATTTCAGACTTATTCTGATTGGATGGTATATTTCTTTTTTTTTTTTTTTGGAGAGTATATTTCTAATAAGCATTTACCAAATTTTCAGCATCTCTTAATTGATGGGGCCACTGTATATTCTTTCAATGGTAACAAACTTAACACTTTCAGGTCTTTTTAGCCAATGTGCCTGAAGCTACTTTCTTCAGTTCTTGACCTCTCAGAGCTAGACGCTTATATACACTGCAGCCCACCTACTGTTACTCCCTGGCTGTCAGTCCTGCCATCGAAGTCAGGTCTTTTACATAGACAGAGGGTACCAAGGCTGTGTGTCGCGATCTTATTGCAAACGGTGCATTAGAGGTTTTGAAACGTGGTATGTCCTGTGGCAGATTTGCTAAGGATTGTTTAGACAACTCTTTACATGCCACAGAGATGGCAAGAAGTTAAAAAAAAAAAAAAAAGACACACTGCTAGATGTTTTTAAAAAAACTAATTTTCACCAATTTTACATGAATTAGGGTTTGAGAAATGATCAGGGCAGAGGAGGTCAGGCACACTATGGTACAGCAGGGGCTGGCAAACTATAGCCCATGGCTCAAATATGCCCCACTGCCTGTTTTTGTAATTGTAATTTATTGGAACCTAGCCACAACTGACCTATTTACATATTATATGCATAGCCACACCCATTCATTTACTCATTACATATGTAAGGCTGCTTTCACTCTAGCAGAAGTGACTACTGTAGTTTTAACAGAGACTGTATGGTCCCTACAGTCTATTTGGCCTTTTACAGAAAAAGTCTGCCAAACCTTGTTCTAGAAGGACCCCAGAACCAACTGCATCAGAATGATGTGGCTGGGGAGAGCAGCCTTGTTATGGAGGCTTCTAGACTCTTGCCCAGGGCTACCAAATCAGACTCTGCAGAGAGTGGGCCCAGAACCTGCATGTCACAGGCAACCCCCTGACACTTAAGCACACCACTTCCTTAGTCTCACTGGTCTGCAGGGGTGGACTCTGAGTTCTGTGTGTCCTTCCAGTAGAGCAATCCTCAGCTTAAGCCACATAAACACAATTTGGGGTCCTCTGTGAAGTCACGGAGGGGCATGCAGCCTGACCTGTTTTGGGCCTGACGGTGGTCATCGGGTCCAGGTAGTCTACAAGGTCCCTGTGCTTGCAGTCCAGTGCAACCTCGAAGGCGGTCTTCTCCAGCACGCTGAGGTGGTCAGGGTTGGCGCCCTTCTCCACCAGTTGCTGGGCCACTCCAAGCCGCCCAGTGAGTGCGGCCAGCATCAGTGGGCTCCAGCCCACAGTACGGGCTGCGCGGTTGGGGTCCGCACCCCACTCCATCAGTAGACGCACCACGGCCTCGTGCCCGTGCTGGATGGCGGCCATCAGGGCCGTGATGTCCAGGGGCTCATCCCTGTTGCCGCCCAACCCCAGTTGCTCGCCCGAAGAGTGGTGATGGTCCACAAAGGCACCGGCTTCCAGGAGCAGCTTCACCACACCCAGGTGGCCGCCCCGAGAAGCCACAGTGAGCACACTGGCCCCTAGCCGGTTCTGGGCATTGACATCAGCCCCGTGATCCAACAGGAGGTGTGCCACACTCACATGCCCAAATCTGCCAGGAAGATGGAGAATTAGTGACACTAAACACACAGCACTCGGGAGACAGTTTTTGTCGTCCTGAATTGTCATGAATTATTAGTCCTGACAGCTAATAATAAGAGTCTTATTCTCGTGCCAGGCACTGTGCCAGTCCCACAGATACGAATGCAACATCATGAAGGTGAGCAGCTGCCCTGCCCGGGTTCAAATCCAGCTCTCCCCACCACCAGCTGCATGACCTTTAGGAAGAACTTTGATTTCTTTGTGCCTTCATTTCCTGATCTGTAAAATGGGGATATAACTGTGCCTACCTCAAGGGTTGTTGCGGATTAAATGAGTTGTATGTAAAGCACCTGGCTCTGTGCCTGGCCACAGGAAGCATCACATCAATGTTAGCGATTGTTAGCTATTACAATTGTTCATGTTACATTACTCAACATGCCAACGGTTACCCAGCTGGTAAGGGGCGGCATCGGGTCAGGACAGGTCTGTGTGAATCCCACTGCCCTTGCTTTTTCCCCTACACCATGCTGTCTCTTACATTTCAGACAGTCCATTTTATTCTGTTTTATAGCCTGGGAATCTGTCTCTCTGCCTGTGCTCTAATTTCCACACAGGCAGGGCCCATGTCTGATTCATTTCTACCCACCCCCTCATCCCCAAAAGCACACACCCCATGCCAAGAGGTGTGGCAAGGTTGTGGTCAGCAGATGGGCTGGGCATTGCGGCCTGGAGGCCTGCTGCCACCTGCTGGCAGGAATGTTTGCTGCAGGCGGCTGAGGATCCGGCCTAGGCCAGATGTTCCTCAATGAAGTCACTGCTGGGCCCCTGAAGAGACAAATCTGCACCCACCAACTTCCTAATAAGAGGAGAAGGAAAACAGGTGCCTCTTCCCAGCAAAATCTCTTCCTTCTTTTAACACCAGAGGGCAGAAAAGTTACGTTTTTGGTGTCTCTGGTGGGCTCGGAGCTGTGTATCTCCAAGCTAGAAGCAGCCCCAGACTAACAAGAAAACAATGACGAGACGGGGGGCTGTCTACTCCAGGTTTTCGAGACCACAAAGCCACTGTCATGTCTGCACCTGTGAGACAGCTTTCTGGGTTTCTCGATGCTCAGCCCTCTTTCCCGGGCGCCAGTTTTGCATCTCATCTAAACCCAGGACCTCCCTCCTCCTGGCAGCTGGCAGCTAGCGGCCGGGCCAGGGCTGAACTCTGTCCGAGGCTCCAGCTGAATACCTTCTGGGATGTGAACCTGAACAGCATGAGGCTCCTCAGCCGCGGAGCAAGAGCCTGGTGACACAGCTCCATCAGCTGCAGGGGGCTGGGCCTCTTGACCTCCACTCCCAGAGCAGAAAGGGACAAGGCAAACTGAAACCAACTCAATGCAGAAAGCTGCACCCCAATGTCTCCCCGCCTCCAGTCATGTTCCCTCCTGCCCATCCTCCATGTGACCCCCAAATGATATTCTCCAAACCCAAATCTGTCACTCGCCAGCTTCTGACTGCCGAAGACCTGACTGCTTTGCCAACCTCACTTCCTCCCGCTCCCACACCACACCTTCCTGCCTCCCCCACACCTTCACCATCAGAGGACTCTCCTGTCCTTATCTACTCAGCACACCCCCAACCGTGTCCTGCTTCAGGAGTCTGCTCAGATCTCACCCACTCCAAGCAGCTTCCAGACCACCCCTCACCAGGCTAGGTCAGTGCCCCTCTTCTAAGCACCTAATTCCACGGGCTTGCCGCTGGCTGCAAGTGAGCCCTCTTTCTCTAATTCTCTCTCTGCACCCACCAACTTCCTAATACAAGTGGCGGGCTCTCCAAGGACAGGACAGGGTTCCAGGCATGTTGTTTCCCCAGCCCCTACCATAGTAGCTGATCCACATCAGGGCTCAGTAAATTTTGTCAAACTAGCTGAGTAAATGAATGCATAAATGGCATAACCACATAGGGGAAGGTCCAGAGGTGAGCAGTGGAAATCACTGAAGAACTGGTGTATCCTCTACTGTAGCAGAGATTTCTAAAAGATTACACTATTTAGTTATCGAACATGAGATAAAATCTAGCATAATCCCTAACAGCAGATTACAAGGTGCTGTCACATTTTTATCTCATTTGATCTTAATAAACCCCGAGATAAACTCACAGATTAGGAAACTGAAGATTACAGTGGAAAGCAATTAATCTAAAGCCTCTCAATTTGAACGTGATAAAGTCAAAAGTTGAACCTGGACTCAAAATCGAAGCTCCAGTATAACCAATTTTTAAGGAGGAAAAAAGGGCCAAATTAGAGCAGAAACAGTGAAATTTGGAATGTTTTCTGAATTAGTGAGTAGCCCAAGAGAGCACTCAACTATGCGGAAAATAAAAAAGGATTCAAGCAAGGCTGAGATAATGTTGTGGAGGCTAAGTTCCTAATAGGTAACTGCTGGAGATGGGCATGCCAGAGGCTTTCTGAACAGGTGCTGTGATTACTGATGAATTTCAGCAATTAACACCTGTGTTTAAAGAGCTGGCACACATTTTCCCCTTTCAAAGCACCGGGCTGAGAGTCCAGCTCTGCCCCACTGGCAGGCAGGAAATGAAGGGTAGGGAAGGAAGGTAAACACTATGCAACCCTGTCCCTAGGAGAGAAGTCTCCGGCAAATTTGGCAAGCCGCTTCCTCGCCACCAACATCAAGAGGGAAACTATCAGTTACAGGATTTATGGCTGGGAGCACAGGCTCTGGAGCCACCTCCCTAAGTGTGCATCTGTCTGGCGACTTGGTAGCTATGTGACTTAGGCAAGTTATTTAACTTCTCTGTTCCTCAATTCCTCATCTATGAAATGAGGATGACAAGAGTACCTCCTTCCTAAGGTTTTGTATAGATCGAATGAGTTAATTCATTTAAAGCACTTAGCACAGTGCTTGACTGAAAGTAGATGCTCCATAAAGGTTACTTTTTTTTTTTTTGAGATGGAGTCTTGCTGTTGCCAGGCTGGAGTGCAGTCGCAGGATCTCAGCTCACTGCAACCTCCGCCTCCTGGGTTCAAGCGATTCTCCTGCCTCAGCCTCCCGAGTAGCTGGGACTACAGGCGCATGCCACCATGCCCAGCTAATATTTGTATTTTTAGTAGAGACAGGGTTTCACTGTGTTGGCCAGGCTGGTCTCGATCTCCTGACCTCGTGATCTGCCCGCCTCGGCCTCCCAAAGTGCTGGGATTACAGGCGTGAGACACCGCACCCAGCCAAAGATTACCTGTTATTTTAAGAACAGGAAAAAACACGGCGGAGCACGGTGGCTCACACCTGTAATCGCAGCACTTTGGGAGGCCGAGGCAGGTGGATCACGAAATCAAGAGATCGAGACCAGCCTGGCCAACATAGTGAAACCCTGTCTCTACTAAAAATACAAAAATTAGCTGGGCAGGGTGGCACGGGCGTGGTGGCACGTGCCTCCCAGCTACTTGGGAGGCTGAGGCAGGAGAATCGCTTGAACCTGGGAGGCAGAGGTTGCAGTGAGTCGAGATCGTGCCGCTGTACTCCAGCCTGGTGACAGCGAGACTCCGTCTCAAAAAAGAAAAAACACTAACGTCACCATTTCTAATACTAAAACACCCACAAGAGTCCAAAGGCACAGGGTGTCTGACAGTCTGGCCTGATGCACACAGAGAGCTGGGATGATAAATAGATGCTCACTTAGACCCAGTGTGGTGGCTGCCAGGGGTGCGGTTTTGAGCAGGATTCTGGGGCATATCCAGAACCAAGGAAGAAGAGCACAAGGCTTGGAAGGTGTCAGCACATGGGCCATGCATTTGCCGACCCCGATATGAGGGACAGACACACTATACATCCTTCTGGAAGTCTTCCATACATACTACTCCTCAACTTGACCTTTTGGTATGAATTACGCAGCAGAAAGCCGGAGCACAACTCAACACAGGCAGAGATGCTACCTGAATATATAGTCGGTGTCACACCAACTGAGGAACAGCACATTTTAAAATACCCAGGCTCAGACTATCCTGCAGAACTTGGTTAAAACTGGTGATCAGGGGTCTCCGAGACACTCCGAGGCACGTTAGTGCTGCAGTCACAAACCTCACTCAGTAAATTCCTCAGCTCCCCCCTTCCCCCATTCCCTGGCAACCGCCTTCTCTCCAGGGGGGACTAGTACATCATTCTACTCATACATAATTCTACTAGTCCTACCAGCTCGTGCACCCAAGCCTTTGCATGGGCCTCCCATCATGCCCTTCCCACATCCCACGTGTTCTGTCCTGGCTAATTCTCAGGCATCCACGTGGAGGTTATCTCCACGTGGATATAAACATCATTTCTACCAGAAACCTTCCCCAACGTCTCCAAAATGGGTCAACTGCCCCCAGAGCTACTCAAACCTTTCCGGTCAAGCTCGTTCCTTTGCCTGGCCTGTCCACCACTGCCCTGGTGGTGACTCTGCCTGGTCTGGGAACATCCTCAACGCCAAGCCAGGAAGGGAAAGCAGGTTCTGAGGAAACCCTTACTGCAATGAGAAATGAATTAAATAAGGCTGGGCGCGGTGGCTCACACCTGTAATCCCAGCACTTTGGGAGGCTGAGGCAGGCGGATCACAACGTCAGGAGATCAAGACCATCCTGGCTAACACGGTGAAACCCCGCCTCTACTTAAAAAATAATAATAATAATAATAATAAAAATAGCCGGGCGTGGTGGCGGGCGCCTGTAGTCCCAGCTACTCGGGAGGCTGAGGCAGGAGAATGGCACGGACCGGAGATCAAGACCATCCTGGCTAACACGGTGAAACCCCGCCTCTACTTAAAAAAAAAAAAAATAATAATAATAATAATAAAAATAGCCGGGCGTGGTGGCGGGCGCCTGTAGTCCCAGCTACTCGGGAGGCTGAGGCAGGAGAATGGCACGGACCCGGGAGGAGGACCTTGTAGTGAGCTGAGATCGCGCCACTGCACTCCAGTCTGGGCGACAGAGCCAGACTCCATCTCAAAAAAAAGAAAAAAAAAAGAAATGAATTAAATCTCTAAGGTTCTAAGTCTCTACGATTCTGTTCGTTGTCTCCAGATTCTATTCTGAAAGGCCAAAGTTTCTAAGAATCTGATTTTATGTTAATACAAAAGTATTTCCATTTCTATGCTCAAAGTTTACCAAAGACTACTCAAAGTTTACCATCCCAACTCTAAGGAGTCCTTAACTCTTTACCTCCCCGGACATCTGGCCGCCGGGGAGATCCAGCTGCCCGGGGCCGCGTCCAGGGCCCCCGAGCCCCGCCGCCTCACCTGGCCGCCTGCATGAGCGCGCTCCAGCCGTAGTGGTTGCGGCTGTTGACCGAGGCACCGCGGCGCAGCAGGAAGCGCACCAGCGGTTCGTGGCCCCCGGCCGCGGCGAACTGCAGTGCGGTGTTGCCCGCCTCGTCCGAGCAGTCCACGGGCACCGGAGCCCCGACTGCCGCCGCTGCTGCGGCCCCGGGCCCGGCCGCCTCGGCCCCCACCGGCTCCGCGCCCGCTTCCGGCTCCGCGCCGCGCTCGGCTGGCTCCGCCGCCCCCGGCTCCAGCAGCCGCCGCGCGGTCTCCGTGTCGCCCTGGTCACACGCGCGCAGCAGCAGCTGGAAGGCCGGGGGCAGCCCGCCCTCGCCCATCGCCGTACCCACGCGAGGCCCGCGCCCGTCCGCCCTGCCGGCCGCGTCGGCTCCGCCCCCGGATACCGCCCGCCGGCGCCCCCTTCCGGCCGCCCGCCCGCGCCGCGCGCCTACTGTGTGCTGGGAGCGCGCCGGGGCCGGGGCCGCGCGCCTACTGTGTGCCGGGAGCGCGCTGGAGCCGGGGCCGCGCGCCTACTTTGTGCCGGGAGCGCGCCAAGGCCAGGACTGCGCACCTCCAGTGCCCGCACTTGGGAGTCCAGGGAAGCTCAGAGGAGACCCCGCTGCAGGCCCGCGTGTCCCCTTCTGCCTCTTCGGCCCCCGCTCGCTGCCCTGTCCGGAGCTCCAGAGACTTCCTGCCAGGGCAGAGGTGGGAGCGGCGACCCCATCCCCTCTTCACGCTGCGGCCAGGGCCCTGGGCCCGAGTCTGAGTCCGCAGCTGCATGGGCCTTGACTTTACTAGCGGGCTCCGCTGACCCCACCTCAGCCTCTGGCACTGAACCTGCGCTTCCAGAATAAGGAAGCGGCTGAATTAAGGAACGAGCGGGTTTATTGTTTCCTCACAGTGTCCTGCAGTGCCCTTAATGCCCCTCCTTCATCTGGGCCGGGCTGCTGGGGCTACAAGCGCCTCCTGTACCTTTTCTCTCTCTTTTATTTCAACTTTTATTATAGATTAAAGGGTACAAGTGCAGGTTTGTTACATGGGTACATTGCGCGATGCTGAGGCTTGGGTTCCCAACGATCCCGTCACCCAGGCAGTAAGCATAATACCCACCAAGAGGTTCTTCAGCCTAGAGTTCCCTCTATCCCTCCCTGGTTAGCGATCCCCAGCGTTTATTGTTCCCATCTTTGTGTCCATGTGTACTCAATGTTTAGCTCCCACTTATAAGTGAGAACATGCAGTATTTGGTTTTCTGTTCTTGTTAGGTCGCTTAGGATAATGGCCTCCAGCTCTATCCATGTTGCTGCAAAGGACATGATTTCGTTCATTCTTATGGCTTCATAGTATTCCGTAGTATTCCGTCTTATTCCATCGCGTATATGCACCACATTTCTTTCCTTCCTTCCCTCTCTTACATCCCTCCCTCCCTACCTATCCCGCTTCCTCCCTATCACCCTTCCTCCCTCTCTTTCTCTCTCTGTCTCTCTGTCTTGCTCTGTCACCCAGGCTGGAGTGCAATCGTGCAATCTCTACTCACTGCAACCTCTGCCTCCAAGGCTTAAGCAATCCTCCCACCTCAGTCTCCCGAGTAGCTAGGACTACAGGCGAGTGCCACCACAGCCAGCTAATTTTTTGTATTTTTGGTCGAGACAGGGTTTCACCATGTTGCCCGGCTGGTCTCAAACTCCTGAGCTCAAGTGATTCGCCCGCTGTGGCCTCCCAAAGTGCCAGGATTACAGGTGTGAGCCATTACCTCTGACTCTGTACCACATGTTCTTTATCCAATCTACTGTTGATGGGCACTTAGGTTGATTCCATATCCCTGCTACTGTAAACCGCACTGCAATGAACATACAGGTGTCTTTTTGATAGAATGAATTATTTTCCTTTCGGTATATACCTGGTAGTAGGAGTGCTGGGTCAAATAGTAGTTCTATTTTAAGTTCTTTGAGAAATCTCCAAACTGCTTTTCACAGTGGCTGAACTAGTTTGCATTCCCACCAACAGTCTGTTTTCTTCACAGCCTTACCAGCACCTATTGTTTTTTGACTTTTAAATAATTGACATTCTGACTGGTGTAGATGATGTCTCATTATGGTTTTGATTTGCATTTCTCTGATGATGAATGATGTTGACTATTTTTTCATATGTTTGTTGGCTGCTTGTATGTCTTCTTTTAAGAAGTGTCTGTTCATGTCCTTTGCAGAGACACAACGAAAAAAGAAAACTTCAGGCCAATATTCCTGATAAACATAGCTGCAAAAATCCTCAATGAAATACTACAAACAATCTAGCAGCACATCAAAAAGTCAATTCACCATGATCAAGGAGGCTTTATTTCTGGGATGCAAGGTTGGCGCAACATGCGCAAATCAATACATGTGATTCACCATATAAACAGAATCAAAAATGAAAATCATATAATCATCTCAATAGATGCAGAAAAGACCTTCAATAAAATCCAACATCCCTTTATAATAAAAACCCTCAAAACAGATTGAAGGAACACACCTCAAAATAATAACAGCCATCTATGACAAACCCATACCCAACATCATATTAAATAGGCAAAAGCTGGAACCATTCCCCTTGAGAATTGTTAGAAGACTCTCACCACTCCTATTCAACATAGTACTGGACGTCCTAGCCAGACAAACAGGTAAGAGAAAAAAATAAAAGGCAT